ATAGCTTTACTACAACAATTAAAATAATACTTTATATCCAGCTGTGAAGAGAAAATATGCTAGAGAAGAGCATTTGTAAGTCTCATAAATCACAATTTCAATTTGAATTTACTCTTTGTTTTTTAATTAATTGTGTGTATATATATTTTATAACGATTTACACTTATATGAAATTAATTTTGACATTTCTTATTGCAATTGTAGCATTACAAAAACCAACAGACTCTGATAATAACTGTGTATTTTATAAATGTCCGGACGAATGGAGAACTTGTATAGCAAATGAAATATGTGATAAACATTTGACATAATGTGTCAATATTTATTAAAGATTTTAAGAAATGCCATATGCATTAGGATAATTTTATAATTGTTTGGTAGATAATGATAAGACTAGATTATTATATAGATGTGTAAGATAAAAATGTAATACTCCTATTAGTAATTGTTTGATTGAAGCCTTTACTAAACATTTTACATGATTAATTATAATTAAAATATTCAATATTATTCGTCATTGTAATTTGTCTCTTCATATTATTATTATAATAGAGTTTCATCATAATTTTTCTTATCATAAAATATCTTATCACTAATAACTTCAATGACTCTTTCATGTTTTAATAAGTTTTCTATTAACTTTTCTCTATCTTCTTTCTCCATTTTCACCTCTTCAATACTTAAATCTAAATATTATTATTTACTACTTTTATTTTTCTTCAAAGTTCTTTCATCACTTCTCACTTAAATTATCTCTTCTTTAATATCCTCTATACACTGCCTTAAAATATTATATAATTCTGTTTTTGAAGATAATTCTTTAGTATATAGTTATTTAATATCTCTTATCCTTTTTTATTCCTTCTTTAATGTCTCTTAATATGTTTTAATAATATTCTAACATCTATTCTTTTTAAAATTAATATTATACTTGGTTTTCTAAGCTTCATCAATATTTTATTGAGTTTATGTATTAGTTATCTAAGGTAATCTTACTTGTTATTAGGATGATGATTATTTAGATTTCTCAGTTTTTTGATTTTTAACTCCTGATTTATCTAAGATTAAATCTTAATAAGATTCTTAATCTTCCTCTTTTTGAACATCATTCAATAACTTTTCATATTATTAAATTTATGATTTTAGAATAGCATTTTCCTTTTTCTTTATTATTAATTCTTTCATTAACATTTCTCTATCTCTTTCTTAAGTTTAATATTCCACTTTTAATTCTTTATACTTTTACATCAATTAATGATTTTCATCATCTATTTTTTAAGCAATCTTCTTAATCCATTCTAATTCACTAATTAATTGATTCTCTTTTTAAATATATTCTTTATCATTCTATCCTTTCTTTTCTCTTTCTTCTTAAAATTGTTTCTTTATTTCATTAATTTTATTATTAAAAAATCTTATAATATCTCTTTCTTAATCAACTAAAATTTTAGATGTTCTCAACTAAATACTATTGATTCCTTCAATAATTTTACTATGATCTTTGTAAATCAATTCCATAATTCTCTTATCAGTTTAATCTAAGGCAGTTCTTGATCTCAATTCTTATTATAATTCATCTATAGTTTTCTTAAATTCCATTTCTCTTTAAACATATCTTGCTATAAGCTCTTCTCTAAGTTTCTTCTTTTCTTCATTGTGTTATTATTATATTTCTTGTAATTTATTTAACCATTCAGTTGTATTTAATTCACTTTTATTAGCAGAAGTAGATTATTATCCTTTGCCCTTCTTCTACTTACTATCCTAAATATTTTCCATCTTCTTTGCTTATAATAGTAATTATTCTTATGTCAATTTAGACGGTTTCAATATACTATCAGAACTAATTGCTATATATTGCAATGCTTATACTTTTAGTTAAATCACCAGTAGTAGCATAGATGCGATCAGCAATTTCTTACATTTTTTACATACTTTTAGTATTCTTGATAATTTATTGTTCATCAATTTTAGACATTATATTCTTTTTTATATATATATATTAATAATAAGAATTAATGATAAATTTAGAATAATAATTCTTAAATTTTTTGGATTTGAATATTTCAATAAACTTCAGCATGTTTTAATAAGTCACTCTTTAATTATCCTAATGAAGTTGTTGTCAATAGAATTGCTTAATCAAGTAATTTATTTTGTTAATTTCTCTATCTATTTTATTATTAATATTCTTAATCTAATATTGAACATTCGGCTTGAATGTTATCAAATTCTTTCATTTTATTTTATAATCTAACATCAGCCTCTTTCTTTTCATTTTCACTCTATTTTAACTCATTAGACTAACTATCCAATATTCCTCATTTATTCACAAATCATACCTGTCATTTCAGTAAGAGATTTAGAAGCCTCATTAAATAAATCAGCTATTTGAGATCTGTAATCAGAATAAGCAGTTTATCTTGATAATTCAGCTTAATCTTCTCTAATTCGTTCAGTTTGAATATATGATTCAATTTATTTGAGAATTGCACTTAATTAAATTGCTAATTTTAATGCTTCCTAATATTTATGAAATATAATACTTCTTCACTTGTTTATTTTGATAGAGACTATAGTAATTATACAATATGTTTATATCCTTCAAGTTTATAAGTATGTTTAACTTATTTTAAAATAGATTTCATTTCAACAAATGACTCAAATTTACGTTAACCTTTTTATACAGAATCAATAAATTGATTAAATGCTAATTTTATTTAATGAAAACCAAATAAGGCTTATTCAAGGTTATCAAGAATAGTGGTATAAGTATTATGTTCTTTATCTCTTTTTTCTTCTGCTTATTTTAATTCTTACTTATAATCATCCTATCTGTATTATATGTAAAAATACTATTTCTTTTTATTTTCTTTCTACTGTTTATACACTCTATTTCACATTTGGATTTAGATTTTCAATATATGATTTTAGAGTAACAGATTTAATTTTATAATTATTGATTTGGTCATTCAATTAATCTAGATTGATATTGCAATTTGTAGTGATTCTCTTATGTTATTCATCAGCTTTATTTTACACTTTTTCAACTTATGATTATAGATTTTATAACATGTTGATTAAATTACCTACAGGCTCATCTGATTAGATATGCATTTGAATGGTTTCAAGTAGGGTTTAACCAAAATTATCATCATTAAGCTAATATCTAGTTATATATATACATCTTCCATTGCTTATCTATATTGTGCACTTGTCGCATAAGTATATACGAATAACACAAACAATAATAATTTCATATAAAAATAAATGAAAATAAATCCGTTTTACATAATAAAATTAAAATGATATAAAATTGAAAAATATCACATTCCTACAATACACCTTCAAAGATAACTCTGATTGTAAATTTATTTAGCAATGGTAGTACGCAAAATAAAAATTGGTTTATAATCAAATATATTAGTTAATCGTTTTTGTTATTGCTTCTTACAGGCTTTTAACTGCAATGACATTATCTTAATTCTTCTCATTTTTTAATGATTTAAAACTCTTAAAAAATATAAAAATTAAAATACCTAAGTTCTATTCAAAGAATTATTAACTTTATAAATAATAAAATTCTTATTATTTATTTTAGATATCTTTTCTACAAATTCCTGATAATGTTCTTCAACTGATTTATTGTAAACATAAATCACTACATCACAATTTTTTACATAAACTAAATATTAATTTATAAATTTTACCATCAACGATATCAGTAAATTTGGTTGAATGAATGTTGTTAATCCAAAAATGATATGTGATTTATTTGTTCTTATTTACTTCAATCTTTGAAACATAATCAAAATCCTTTTTCTGATGATAATCTTAACCACAATAATCAAAAACATTTTAAGAATCATTCTCACCATCCATCACTATTATTTTAACATTCTATGCGTCCATTTATATTTCTTCCTCTATTTCAGTATTCTAAAATATATATAATTATATTAATACATTTGTTTCCCGCTCATCAAAATCAAAGTTTACTATATTTTAAGTTGATTTCTTAGAGTTACCCTCATAATAAAATAGATCTTTGTTCCAAGCTGATTGAGCTTATTGAATGTATTCTTCAGTAGAATCTGAATGGATTGCCCCGAATCTTTTTCTCATTTATATTTGTTAGTTATTTTAAAAAAATTATTAGATTTCAAGAAATATTTGTGATTTAAACTCATCTATGACACATTCAAATATTAATCCGTCATTACACATATTATCATTATTAAATTAATGCGAAGTCCAATAATTTAAATTTAATCTGTCATCCTTTTTATATTATGCATTAAGTCTTTCTATATAGTATAATAATTTATAATATTATAAATATCTAAAAAGCAACCTTCATTTAATCTATTTCTTATGATCTCTCTCATTTATATTATATAATTATAATTCTAATTAAATAAACATTAAATCATTAAGATCCATCAATAATATATTATTTTTATTTAGTTATCTTGCTTCATCTTTATTTTCTAATATAAATTAATAACATAATTATAAATCATCATCATTTATTTTGTGTCTAAAATTCAAATTATTCATTTAAGTCATATTAAAATGGAAAGATAAAATTAATCCAAATATTATTATATTAAAATTATATTAATTGACATAAACATTAATCATTAATTTTTGTATTCACCTAACAATATTTTAAATTCTAATTAGATAAATATCTTTTGTTATCATAAGTTCTTGTAACTCTTTTGCATTTTTAAATTTTCATCTAATATTAAATTCCTAAGTAAATGGATTGGTGTTGAACAAACAGATTAATCAAAAAATGAATTTAATTCTCTCATTTTTAATCGTTAATTTATAGGATTATAAGTTATATCCTATTAAAGATATTTCAGAATTCAAAGTTAAATTTTTAGTTTCTATTTAATTCATTAATTATTAATATTATTCAATATAAAATTATTATAGTAAATCATAATATATCTATATATCTAAAATAAACATACATATACATAATTTAATCATTAATACCCTCCAGAATGCAATTAAAATGTTTAATATAAACTAATAAAGCTTGAAAATGTCCCTAAAATTACAGCTGTTTCTTGTTTGATAGCCTAAGTATTTACATAAGAATAAGAAACTGGGATATCTAACCCATATTTGACTAAATTTTAGAGAATTTAAATTTATCTAATTCTAATTTTATTCTTTGGGTCGTTTTGTAAATTAGCTTTAGCAATATCTATTTGATTGACTCGATATTCAAAACATAAGGATATAAACCATCCAATACATTCTATAAAATAAAACTTAGATGCATATTTTTTTGTAAATTCATGTAAATTCATATTATTGCATAAACCTATTTAACACATCCAATAAATAAGATCACTGATATCTGTAATTATAAGATAAGTGTAAAATAGAATATCAAAAAGATTCCTATTATATTTCAAGACATTATTGCTTTTTTATTGACTCAATTTATTAAATAGGATTTGAAGATAGAATGCTGTTCTTGACCATCTTAATATCTACATTTAATATATAAGATACTCTTCTTGTCATAGAAAAATGAGAACACAATAAATCTAATTTGTTTTACCACATTCTTAAACATTCTCCACTCTTAATTTTCTTGAGTAAATGTAACTTGATGACCCGTAACAAAAATGTGTAAGTTCTAAATAATTAACTCTTTATACCTTATCATCCTATCCTATCCCAAAACCGTTGAATTTACTTTATAAATTTTTGTTACGGCTCCTAATATCATCAAGACTTTTCAAAAGAATTAAATGATAATTATTTTTTTATTTAAATAATCTAATAATTCACATATTTCTCTTAATCAAACAAATATGTAACATTATATTGAATAATAACATATGAAATATGAAATGTAAGTATTATATAGAATTTTAATCATATAAGAAAGTAACCCTATTATAATTGTCTTTTTAAATATTTCACCAATCCCAAAAACTTTTTTTTTTCTTTTCTATTGCTTTTCTTTCATAACTGAAATTAGTATCTTTTGAAAATCTAACTTTTTTTGATTTTTTAATAGCAGTATGAGTTGATTTAATTGATTTAGTACCTGAGAAACTTCGATAAGTTAAAGATCTATTTTTTAAAATGCTTTTATGACTTTTATGAGTTTTACTTTAACTACTTGATCCTCTTTCATCTACTGAAAAGAATTCACTAAACATTTTTTCATAGGCTTCAAGCATTTATTTTTTTTTGGAAGAACCTTTACTTGCATTATTACTGGCTAATTCTTCTCTTGCTTAAATGATTTTAAGTAATGCACTTTTTCTCATAACATCAGATTAAGATGAAATTGATTTATCTTTATGAGGGGGAGTAGGAGTTTTTGAGATTTAAGATTTTTAAGAAACTGTATCATTATCATTTCTCTTAGGAGCAAATTAAGATGTTGATTTAGGTTAGAAGGGATTTGTACTTGGATGTTCATTTGATTAAATAATGGAATTTTAAAAAGAAAATTAGTTGTCAAGTTATTCTTTTTATTTTTATTTTTAGATTTATTCTTTTCTTTAAAGTTCAAGTTCTTATTCATAAATTTATTGAATACGTTTTAAATTTTCTTACTCTTCTTAAATACTAGATTATGATTAATAAATCATACTTTTTTTTAATTATATACTTTAATTCTTCTTCTATATCATGCATAAATCTGTTTTTTCTGTCATCTGATATATTCAAATTTTTAATTCTTTTATTAAATTACTTAATTTCTTGAGGAGACTAAAATTCTTCTCCAATGATTTCTTCTAAAACTACTTTTTATGAACAAATATGATCAGTCTTTGAATCCTTATCAGATTCTTTCCTTTACTTCTGTTTTTATTACATTGTGACTTCCTATTACATTGTAAGTTATTATCTGCATAAATGTTGACAAGCTCCCATTAATTAATTAAAAAATCAATTCGGACAACTTTGTTCCCAAAATAAGAATAATTTGATTTTATTTTTATCATTATTTTTGATTATCAACTATATAAAAAATTGGGAATACGGAGAAAATCCTTTAAGAAATCTTTTATTTTAGAATATAAAAATCATGCTTTCTATATTTATTAACAAGAGAAATTTGTAAAATTAGAATTCTTTGCATTTTAAATGGAAATAACAATTATATATGTAAATTAGGATCATTTATGTAAAATTAAATAGATTTTTGATGTCAATCAAAGTTTCAAATATATCTACAATTAAACCCCTTTTATATAAATCATTAAAATAATCTTAATAAAACATTTTGATAATTTAAAGATAGGGAGTATATGATGTTCTTAATTATGAATTATTTTGAATCGATAGCCTAATAAATATATTAGAGGTATCTAATATTAATCTCATTCCTATTCATTAAAATTAAATATAATATGTCTAATCAACAAACACCCGAATCCCACAGCTCTTCCATCATATATACACCAATACCTTTAAGACTATAATTTAGTGCATCTCGTTCTAGTGAATAAGGTTCAAATTCTAAAATTCTTTGGGATAGTACTTCAAAGCAGTCATTTGTATAAACTCATTCTTAAAGTCCGCGGAAAGTTTTGTATGTAATCATCACCAATACTAATAGACTTTAAACATTTGAATCGTTATATTATGAAAGGCCCAATAATCCTATGACAAGAGATGAAAAATTTAAGGAACTTGAAAATCTTATCTCATCTTTTGATTCTGATGCCTTCATACAAGAGGTTGAACTATTCGATTGAGCTCACAAATACTTTTGAATTGTGAATAAAGTATTTTCATAATACAGTATAAAAACTTAAAAAAAAACAACCAATATATTGAATTCTTTGATTAACATATGAGTAATCTTGAAATTAACTCATCCCATAACAATCCTTTTCTATATATTCATCATAACAATCATGATTAAAAATATTCGAATTTTTATTATTATAATTGATATGCAAATAAAAGTATTACTATTTGCAATTATTTTTTCTTATGTCCTTTCAAGAAGAATTAAATAAAAGAAATCTACATTAATACATATATCTTTGATCTAAAAAGGTTAAAGAGTGTAAGAGATCATTAAATCAACTCTAGACTCAGATATCAAAATATCCTTTGAGTTGAGTCGTGAAGTAAAAGAATAAATAAACAATTAAAATTTACTTATAGATCATTTAGATAGATTATAATATGCATATTAGATTGTTTATATTCCATTAAGGTATAAAATATTGAATATCTTATAGAAATTAATATAATGCTCAATATTTTGGTAAAATATAATTAGGTTAATAAGAATAAACTTTTGAATTATTATTTGATACTGGTTCATCATATACGTAAATAAAAGATATAATATTAAGTTGGGTAGCTTCAAATGATTGCAATACTTGTTAAAAAGCTGGAGTGAAAAACTTTTTTAATTGTGAAACTTCATAGAGTTGTAGTTATCTTAATAAGAAGATTAAATTATAATATGGTAAAGGTAAGGCTGTAGCATAATTTATGGTTGAAAATCTAAAAATAGGATAGTTGTTAATTTAAAATTAAACTATGTTATTATTAGATGAATTAACAGAATTAAAAAAGTTTGAAGGAGATGGTTTAGCAGGACTTGGATTTGATACTTTGAGTGATGGATATCCAACAATTATTGATAATCTATTTATTTAAAATTTGATTGATAAAAAGGTTTTTTAATAATTATAATATAAATTAGGAATTTTCTATTTATTTGACAGAACATTAAAATAGTGAAGATAAATAATCTAAATTAATAATAGGAGGTAAATTAGATAATTTAGGAGATTATAATAATGATTAATGGCATTATTGTGATGTAATTAATAAAAATTATTGGGCTATTTTGGGTGATTATGTATCATTTGTATCTAAAGATGGTAAAATAAGGAGATCATTAAAATCTATAAAACCTGTTCATTATGTTTAGGATGATAAGAGTGATATTTTATTTACATCTCTTTTTGTTATAGATTCAGGAACATCATTAATAGTATTATATAAAAAGGATCATGAAAGATTGATTGAATATTTAAAAGATTTTGGAATTGAATGTTTTGATAGTGAATAATATTAAGGAATAAGTGAATGTGATTAATCTAATATTGATGATTATCCAAATTTTGAAAGTTTGAATTTAATGATTATTTTTTATTAGTTTCATTATGTGGTAAATAATTCATAATTCCACCTGAGAAGTATCTTTTATGTTCATTTTTTTAATGTTATTTAATGATTGCACCTTTTGATTAAAGAGTATCAATTTTAGGAGATCTATTCATAAGAGAATACTATACACATTTTATATAAGAAGTATATTAATTAAATAATAAAAATAATTAGACACCAAGAAAGATTGGTTTTATTAAAGCTACCCAAGATTGATCTATTTATACATAAAAAATCTATTTGTTTTTATTTTATATTTATTATTTTCTATTATTAATGTATGATAATCTCATTGGAGATTATGTTATCTTGATCGATCAGAGATTAGGTTCAGGTGCTTTTGGGGAAGCTTATAAATGTTATAAAAGAGGTAATAGTGATGTGGAATATTGCATGAAAATAATAAAGAAATCCATACCTGCTGATCCCTAAAAAGAAGAAAAATAAAAGAAATAACTTTAAGCTGAAATTAATACATTTAAATAGTTAAAAGATTAAGATTGTGAGAATTTAGTCAAAATGATTGACATTATTGATTTACCTTCTAAATTATGCATTATAATGGAATTATGTGAATATGATTTATAGAAGGAACTTTTATAATTTAAAAAAGATAACAAATGGCCTTCAAGATTAGAGATTATTGATATGATGAAATAAATACTTAAAGGTGCTGATGCTTTAATTCGAAATCATATTATACACAGAGATATCAAGCCCTAAAATATTCTAGTATAAATTGTTAACAAAGGGACTTCAAATTAGAGGAAAATTTATAAAGTAGCATTCTGTACTATTTTCTATAGATAGCTGATTTTGGTTTTACTAAATACATAGAAGATATATACGCTAAGGCTAATTTAACTAGAGTTGGTTCGCGTTCATATTGTGCACCTGAAATTATGAGAGGTAATAAGTTTTCTTGTAAATGTGATATTTATTCTTATGGAATTGTTTTCCATCAAATTGTTTATTTTATGGATTTTCCAAAAGATTATAAAAATGAAATACAATTAAATTAGTTTTTTAATTAAATACAAAAAACTCCATATAAATGTAAACCATTAAATGGTGAATATGGTAATTTAATTACTAATTTAATTGAAAAGATGCTTATATATGATTAGGATGAGAGAATCTCATTTGAAGAATTACGTACTCATGAAATTATGACAAGTACAAAAAGATTATAGGATTCAATCTTTTTACCTATTTAAAGAACCTTTAATAAAGAGGATTATAAATAAGAAATGATAAAGAATGAAGAATAAAAATTCTAAAGATTAAATTTATTAATAGAGATATTTTATCGTAAATTCTTACTTTGTAAGTACTTTGTTGATTTTATGAAATAGAACACAATTTTGAATAATATTGAATCCTTGATTTTTTAATAAATTATTTCATTGATTGGATGTTAGTAAATTCTTTATGGATTTGCAATGATAAATTGTATAATAAGTGATTTAGAACCTACTATTGTAAATGATAATGATGTACCTTAACTTATAGACCTTTTAAATTAATTTATGAAAAAATCTTAGGAAAACAATGACTATATGAAATTATAAAAATAGTTAACAAATGACTTTTATTAATCAAAGATAACATATCAATAAGACTTAAATAAATTATATTAACTTAGAGTTGAAAAAAATTGGACATAAAATTAATCTTAATTTTTATTTTTATAAAAATCCAAAACCTAAAAAATACCTATTCAAAATTGTTGTTTAGTATTGTAAGATTTGACTAATAATAGTAGATATATAAATGATTTAGTCTCTAAATACGACAAGTAATAATCAATATTATTTATAATATTAGGAAAATATAATAGTTTCTTTAAACAATAAAACAAATTGATACACAATTTGATATAGCAGATTATAGAATTATAAATCCTGATGAAATTTTTAAAATTTGAATATCATTTTTATATTAATTTTTTATTATAGTAAAATATACAAAGTTTTTTATATTTATTAATTAAATAATAAAATATATTAATTATTAAATCATAAAAAATAATACAAAAGTTTTTATATTAATTTTTTTAAATCATAAAATAAAATATCATTAATCAAGTAATGTTTTTGTTAATTCTTCAATTTCTTCTTCTCTTTAATTTATAAATTTATTCAATTGGATTGAATCATCAGTATCCTCATTATTTATTTAACAATTATTTGGTATCAATTTAATATTAGTTGATCCAACTTTTACAATTTATTCTGGATCAAGAAAATAAAAAGTTTTAGGATTCATTTACAACCATACACCAAAAGTACTAGTTTTCCATTAATCAAAATTTTTCTATCCATCCATAATAATCCATTTATTATTAGATGGCATAAACTATATTGTTCCATGGTTTCTAGATACTTAAGTTGATTGAAATGCTATATCTGAAAATTCCATTCTTCCAAAATGGAATGTATTCTTTTGATCTGCTACCAATAAAAAATGTTCTATTGGATTTTCATCTTTTTATGTTTACAATAGAATACAATTTTTATCTAAAGCTGCATATAATTTCTAATATATTATTTATAATTTACAGTTTAAATCATTAGATTTTCATCTTCTAATCTTTACATATATTCAGATTTATTTATACTTCTTTCTTGTACATGCATAAATAATTCTGATACAGAATCATCAACACCTGAAAATTGAACTCTAGATTATAAAGCTTGTAAAGCATCAAAAATCATATCATCTACATTAGGTCTTGATGAATATCTCTAAAAGAAATTTTCAAATTTATTATAAATTTTTCTAACTGTTAATTGTGGCTAATAACCAACTCTAAATATATTTCCATCTTCAAGTGTTTGATTCTCACAATCTTTTGTTATCTAAATACAAGTAGGATAACCCCTCATTTATGATATATCTTAAATCTTAATCTTTTATTTATTTTAATAAATGGACTAAGCAATTAATTCCATTGTTTTAGATGAAATCATCTAAGAACGTTTAGATGATTCAAATTAATGAATAAATTGCCGACAATGTTCCTCCAAATTCATTACTCTAATCAGATTTGAAAAATCAACTAGAAGGTGTATAGAATTCATCATTTCCTCATTTAAACATTCTACTTTATTGAAAATTACAATAGCTTAAATATCATTATCTAAATTTACAATTTCCTTCTCTAATCTTCCAATTGTAAAACCTAAAATATATTAAAAAATAATATTACAAGTATTATTATCATCTAATTCAATATCGCATTATAATTGAGGATAAAACTGTTAAGCTTTATTCAATGCACTAGAAATCTAAGCACGAATACAAGAAGGGTTTGGCAAAAAAGACTTTATTGCTGGTTCATTTTTCTTTTTATATATTATCCTATAAGTATTAACATTGCATATTTCATTAGCATTACGTTCATAGGCCTTTGTTTTTTTTAAGACATATTCCCCACTATATAATATTTATGAATTTTCAAATTCATTGGCTTGAGCATATTTTTTTTACATTCAGATCGTGATTTAATTCACTATTATAATTTATAAATTATATGTTAATAGAAATATTAAAAAAAAAAAAAAAA